GGTATTACCCGACAGTGACCTTATTTTCCGAAAGTATCCGATAGAACTGACAGAAAAAAAATTCGACTGCCAACCCAGTTTTCTGATTTCATGTTATAAAAAGCGAAAAATAACCTTTTACAACCTTAGATGTGAACATGAGCCCATTAATTCACTGTAGATTAAAAAAAAAAAAATCCGACCGACCAACCGGGAATTTTGAAATCCATAAGGGGGTACCATGTATTCTCGATCGATTAGATGATTAATGTACATAGTAATAGCAATATGTGTACAAAACGAAAAATTAACTTTGCATGGCCTTACAGTACTATGCCATATAAATACTTGTGTAACGTAGATCCCGGAATTTATCAGATACGAATGTCCTCCCTGCTGCAGATGTACGTGATTATAAATATATATGGCCTTTGCGTTCGGACTGATCCGGTTTGATCAAAATTTTCGTGATTTGATTGGTTAGTTATATCGGGCAATCTCGTGATGTACGGAACCCTCCAAAAGTTTTTTTATTTTTTATTATGTAGCCCGTGCCAAGATTTATCCGAATATAGCAAAAACTCGATTTTCATTTTGCCCTTTTTACTGAAAGACACATATCGATATGTTCGATACTAATTATAATTCTTGGATAAATCAGGAATTCAGATAACTGAAGATAAATGATTTTTATAATCAAGCTTAAACAGAAGAATTGGCCTTCCTAATTAGTCTTTATTTTCTAAATATAGTTTAGAACTTAAAGGTACAGGAAATCTAAAAACCTCAATCACATAGAACCAAAAACGCATTGGAGATAAGCTAAATTCAGTCAACCGTACGCATAAAACAGCTCCTATTAAGTGCATATTATTCTTAGCGTATCATTTCTATATGCAACATCCTAACATGGAGATTGAGATTTTTAAATTTCCTGCACCGTATTTGTAAAGAAAATACGCCTTGATCATAATATGAACAACCGGAGGTTGCAATATTACCCTAAAATGAATTTTCAGAATTTAAGTTTTTTTGATATATGTATATATAGATTTACCCTTAACGAAAATAAAAGTGCTTATTAATTGAGCAACAATTTATTAATTTTTGAATGATGCAGCCACTAAAAAGAACACTAGGAACGCTTGTCGGATTCTTATTCCTCATACTAGTGACTTATAATGGGGCATATCTTTTCCTAGAACATTTATATCTCTCTACTACAAACCCTAATATAAATGAACTGATGTGCACAAATTGTACCAACACGCTTGGCTTTGGACATGCTTATGTTATTAATCTTGACTATCGATTAGATAGACGCAGAAAAATGAAAGCCTTAGGGAATCATCTTGGTCTAGACCTTGATTTTTTCAAAGCGGTTAACAAATTTGATGATAAAGCGCTTAGCAGACTTAATATGAGTGATTTAGCCGCTGGTCCTAAGGCTTGTTATCTAAGTCATTATTCAGTCTTTGAATTAATTGTCAAAAACGGTTATGAAAATGCTGTAATTTTTGAAGATGACGTGGATATGGAGCTTAACATTACCGATATTATGTCTGAAGTTCATCATAATTTACCTAATAATTGGGATATGTTATATCTTGGACATTGTCATGAGAAGGGTGACAAACTCTTTAAAACCAATTTAACTGTTCATGTATTACATAAATCAGGTTATCCAAAATGTGCACACGGTTATGCTGTTTCCGCTAGAGGCGCTAAGAAGTTATTAGAAAAACTTAAAATTGACAACACAACAAATAAGATTGATAGGGATATACCTGCTCTTATTATGTCTGGAGAAATAATTAGCTATTCGATTTATCCACGAATTGTCGTGCAGTTTAAAGGTGTTAATGACCTATCAGATGTTACTCCGGTTAGGAAAATACCAAGTATAATCTATCCTTTAATGAACTCTACCTTACGTTTTCTTGGATATAACCCAAATATCCTGGATTCATACAGTATAATTTCATTCTTTTTAAAATTATATGTAATGAGGCTCATCTGAGGTGCTGAGACCTATTAACCTTCATGTATATATACAGTATATATGCTTTATTAGGAAATTAAATCTTTAACATCCCTTTTAGAACTGAGGATCAAATAAAATGAACAATCTAATTTTGAATAAAAAGTTCATTATAATAAACTAGTTTTGTGTTCAGTAACTATTTAGGTTTAGTATAGAGAATTTAATTGAGCTATTCGAAGTTATTTAGTTAGCTTATATCAATATTTTATACTTGAGGTGAATGAAAGAATTTTAAATAAATATATTTTATTATACAAACATTTTTATTGGTCAATATAAATTATACAATGGAAATTATCTATTATTTTATAGCTTCATAGGCGAATAGTAAGATAAAAATGTAATTTGTAAATATTTGTAAAAGGCATTTGGATACTTACCATAGTTATTAATACGTTCTTTTTTATTTCAATTACACTGATTAATTTGTTTAATTTTGCCATTGTTGATTTTTATTTGCTGATGCTTATTAAAGTATAAAATCTTAGATATATTAATACTTAAATAAATTTTAAGTATTATTATAAGAACTTTAGGCTGTTCAAAGTTGAATAGTTTTTTAACGTCATCCCTCTTGGTTAGCTGTTCCCCCGGAAATTAAACAAGCCAATCACAATACAAGATAATCTTAAATAATCATGTGATTAAGGTTGACCTATGAGATTTGACCAAATATTCTGTGTCGTATATGTGTTTGTTTAAATTTTCCCTCCCCCTGAGCCTGAGCTCAAAATGTTGACGTTAAACAACTAATCAATTTTGAACGGCCTTAAGAATATTAATAACACATAAGATATTTAACAATATATAAAAATATATTTGTATACAAAAATTTTGAGCTAAATTCTAAATTAATGTTGTTAGGCGAAACCATTTTGGGCAAATGGCGAAAGACGAAACCTAAACCCGGCGAAAGACGAAAGACG